TGGCAATGCGCTTGAACCTCGCTGCAAATTCGCAGCCCTTCATCGCTTTATGTCCTCTCTCTTCCCTCCGGGAAGCTAGAAGAATATATATGTATATGCACCCATATATACTTACCTTGTACATATATACACGTACGGAATATTGCGAGCACCGTGCTACAGAGACCGATGGGAGATCGTAGAAACCGTCGCTCGTATTTGCCCCCGGTGCTGGAAGAAAGGACGAGAGGAAAACGACGCCGGGGTTTGGTACCCTCCACCGCTCTCTAGCTGAAGGGAGGAGAGGAGATGGATCGAGGGCTGAGGGGGGTTAGAGAAGGTGGGAGGAGGAGGGGTAAGGGCGATTGGAGGGTAGAGAGAGAGAGAGAGATGGAAAGTTGGTTCGTGCTATAAAGTATTGACTGACTGTTGTACAGGCGAACTATATGTACCGGCCCTATAATACCGGCAGACTCCACTCGGCCCTCGCCTCCAGCCAGGAGGAATAATGCGACTTCCGGAACCGAGGAAATACCTTTCAGCTTTTTAAGAGCTCCATGCCGAGCGAGAATCCGGCTCGAAAGGAAAAATAAAAGAGCTAACCGGGGAGTTACAGCGTTCGTTCGTTCGTTAATGTACGTAATCTCGTTGGATACGGTCCGGAGATTTCGACCTGGGTACACACGCACATCTCGCACACGGTGCGCGGCCGTGTGTCGTCGTCTCCTGGGATGAACTATACGGGTTAATTCGGACACCTTATTTGTCATTGCCCGGTGATAATCATGTAGCAGGTGTGTGTGTGTGTGTGTGTGTCGCGGTGATGAACGAGCGTAAAAACTTCGTGTCTCCTTTTTTTTTTTTTGAGGTTAGTCGTCTACCTGTTTCATGCGGTACAGGTTCTTCTTGGGTCTCGCGGAGGTTGGAGTAACCCTTTCGTTCGCTGATTATTTTGCAGATGCGGGGAATGTTCAGTTGTGCTTTGCGGGTGTTGCATGGCAAGTGAGCAATTTTTGAAAATTTTTCATCGCTCTTTCTATCGATGTTCATTTGGTGACAGTATAGGATAGTTACTTGAGGCTTTAGGTGTAACTAAACTTTGAGTGTAATCTGCAGAATATAGATAACATTCGTACATTTTTATTATTTCGAGTATTTTATAAAATGACCATATAGAACATATTGGAACGAAAGAGTTAAGCTGGTTATTCAGACGTAAGGTCTTCGGATGAAATATACTGCACCGTTCTAAACAAGATATATTTCATATTTAATATTATTGAGGATCTCTAATTAGCGAATAAAGATTGACTCAATCGACTGCAGAGAAAAAAAGCGTTTATTGATAGAAATGTAATACAAAACAACGGAGGGGAAAACCCGAGTGAAAAACAGGTACTCAGTTCGGGGTTGTCGCACGACTGCTTAAAATGCGGAGAAGCATTTGTTGTATACTTGGATCGGAACCACGGTCAGCGGACCCATGGCTTTTATGGCCCGGCCTGGGCCTACGTTAAAGAGAGAAAAATTCAAAATATAATCTATTCTCAATAAATATTTCATAGAATCATCACATAGAAAGCATGACTACCACAAAAATGAAGATACAGTCATATAAATACGGTGGGAACGAAAGGGTTAAGCTGGTAAGGTCTCCGCGTGAAATATCCCCGAGTGTAACAAGTCGTAAGGTGAATTCGCGGTTGTTTAGAAATCAAGATAAATTAACGTGCGTACACGTAGAACACGCTCGATGGCCAATACGTAGCGATCGGTGAAGTTGGTACACCAGAGGAGAAGTCATCTCTCTTAATCACTCGTTAAAAGATTGCCTGGTGATCGGTTGGTACGTTACGTTGGTTATTCGAGAATAATAATTCTTGACGGAATTGATGGTCGTGCGTGATGGGGAAGCTGCTGCTTCTACCTACGCCGTAGCGTGAGATGTCACGGCTGTGGTATCTCTATTCCAAATTAATGCGATAGACTCACGCTGGGAGTACGATTGAGTTACGCGGATATGTAGGAAAAACTGTGCCCGCTGATGTATGGTGTTTACTGAACTGCGGCGTGAAGCTCAGGTGGTGAAAGTCGTAACGTAACCAGTTTAATGATTAACCGTGGCCATCCCTGTAATTCCACGGTATTTTATCATACATTTTTTTTTCTCTCTCTTCTTTCTCTTCTGCTCGAACGTATATCGGTTGCGTAGGAGGTTTGAGTTATGTAGATGCTGTCATAGAAGTTTCATCTGATGTTTGGTTGCCGGAGATTTGTTTAGATCAATGGAGTACCTGCTTTCTATTTTTCTAGCTGTTCTATCGTACGAGAGCTCGTTTTAAATAATTTTTCAAGAATTATCCGAACGTATTTACGTATTGACCCGAATTTTGAGGTCATTTCTGCCTTCGATACAACTCTGGGGATGTGCCAAGAAAAGTAACATAGATATCATCCAAAGGTTCCAAAACAAAGCACTAAGAACTATTGCTGCTGCACCTCAGATTCTCTACGTAAAGATTTGGGCATACTCAGTATCAAGCAACAAATAGGAAAATTCGCTACAGCACACAAGAAATCTAGACCATACACCGCAACACAGAAGACTGGAAAGGAACAAGCCAACCGATTTGCAGAAGTAAAGAAAGGAACATCATATGTAAGGTTAGCGGTAACGCTACGGAGCGTTTACCGCATGCAAGCCATTTAAATCCATCAAATTTGCTGGTTAGCTCAATGAAGCTAGTTGTAGATGTAATTTAGAAAAAATATAAAAAAAAGAAAATTTCTGCCTTCAAACATCGTGCCGTGATAAATGTTACATTGTAAATGATGATAAAATTTATAGAAGCTTCGTATTTGAGTAACTAACAAAGAAAATCCGAAGATCCAGATTTCGACACCAAATTCGAATTATTTCGATCTGAAATTCTAACTTCACAGAGTCCACCAGATAATAGCAAACGAAACCAACCTAGTTTCGATACTTTGCACTAGATCATCTTCGCGTATCTTATCAAACGCGACCATACTTCACACACGTTATCTAGTATTCTCTCACACACGTTCAACTCGATTAACGCGAACCTCAGATTTGATTACAGTAATACTGCAGCGGGCATTATTTATGACTCAACTCTAGCTATCATTGCCAATGACTCCAGATAAAATCACATCGATTGTCGGGGGGCACTAAACGAAACGTAGCTCGCGTCGCGTCGCGGCGGCTTGGAAATTTAAATCCCGTTGCCATTAATTGCCGATGTAAATGTTAATTACCGCGGTAAATCGCGCGCGACTGGGACAAACAAAAATAAAGAAAAATGTCGAACCCCGTGTGTGTGTGCAGGTGATGCTGCACTGTGCAACGTCAATCGTCCATTTAAACGAGTATATACGCCGTACGCGTGTGGCGCGTACGCAGCGAAACGGGATGTTCGGCCTAATTACCGCGTTTTATCAATAGGGATTCTTCCGCACCGCCGTCTAATGGAGTGTCTAGGCTGTAATCTGTAGTGGGAAGCACGTGACACAATTTCGAAGCCGAGTTCGTCGACCCACCGTTCCCTCGGTTGCGTCATTGTCACGCTGACGTTCTCTACGCGCTAAAGCGATGTGTCGCGCGCGCGGTTCGGCCCTGTCTGCCTTCGAATTTATGACGTAGCGATTCCACATGGAGTGTGTTAAGGTTCACACGCGACGAAACTAGGCCCCGTGTTCGAGGCGACAGCGAGCGTTTAGAGCAATCCGGAATACTTACCCTTCAGCTAATAAAACTTTTAGAGCGTCGCGGCGCTCCGTTCCGAAACGCGCTGGACTTCAGAATTCGAGGAATCTCCAACCGGGCTATTTTTATTGTTATAGCGGTGGAACGGTGGGTGTCGAGATGTTATATTTGACATCACCGTCGAGTTAATGATCTCCACGTTTGATATTTGTGGTTTGTGTTCGATGTTAAAGAAGTCGGTTCCCACTGTTTTTCGCGGAGATGGGAGAATAACAGTGGAGCGACTTTTGGGAGATTTCTAGGTTGAGCGTATTTTATGCTACATGTTTTTGTGCTTTGTTGTTAGATTAGGTTGATAGAATGGTGATTTGTTAGGTACTTTTTCTCTCTGAGCTTTTTCGAGCGGAAAGATTTTTATCCTTAACCCTTTCGAGAATGAGATGTGCGATAAAGTGTAGGCATTATACGCTGCTTTTTAATTAGAATAAAGTGTGTTCTGGGCTGATGAATGTTTTAGTTTTTATTTACGTGCTTAGACAATTTTAGGGTAAATGGGTAATTGTGACACTCGTTTGTGAATTCATACCACTGAAAGGATTAATCTATCCTCCTTTATTATTTTCTTCCATTTTTCCACCATTATATGCGTCATTATAGCGATAAATGGGTTCGCAGCTTATACCGACCAATTTTTCGAAACTCACTTGAAAGGGTTGATCAATGAACCTTTGAAGAATCACATCTGCACTCAATTTCAATTGACATTCCATCGCACTGCTCGAACCCCAAATAAACCCGATTTATTTAAAATTGAAATCTTCGCAGGCGTAAAATGAGGAATAAAAATCAGTTTGTAAAGCCGCAATTAACTAGCCACGCGTCCCATTAACCGGCCGAGTTTGTGCGTACAGTTGAAAACACCCCGTATATCCTCGCTGACACCGTTGCTGCGTCAGACCCTCCTCCCTTTGATTTAATCCGTTCTCCCCGTTCCCTCTTTATCCCTCTGCCTGGCGAGGAGTGCGTGCAGCGAAAAAGGGAAGGAGAGGGACAGAAAAGGGGGTGTGTTGGGTAGGGTAGGAAAATGGTGCCAAGTGCACAGTACTGGGGCATCGACCAGCAGTCGTTCGCGGCTGTCGTGTGTCCGATACTCTTGGCTATTTTCCATTCGACGAGATAACCACGATCGAACGCAGTAGGATCCCTATAACGCGATCGGAAAAAATTGCTACTGCCACCGTATAACGCGATGGAAGAAAAAAGAACGCACAAATTGTGAATTTGCCGTTTTGGAATTTTGGGGTGGTTAAATTCGAGCCAAAATGCGGCGTCGGTGGAACTTCCTGTGTTATAAAGAATCCTAAATACTGTGAGGTGGGTGAGGAACGTCGTTAGAATTTTGGGGTGGTTAAATTCGAGCCAAAATGCGGCGTCGGTGGAACTTCCTGTGTTATAAAGGATCCTAAATACTGTGAGGTGGGTGAGGAACGTCGTTACACTGTTTTCACTTCAATTTATTAAAATATGAGTGTTATGGTCGGCGTACAATTTGTCCAGAAAATACAATCGTTTGCTTCGTTAATTGTCCCGGCGGCAGCGGTTCGGCGGGTACGTCGCGATGGTTGGTAAAGGAACAAACACTGGAGGTGTAGGCGTACTGGGTTTTTAGATAAGATAAAGTAGATAGATAAAGATAAAAGTGGAGAAAGTGGTGGAAACGGAAAATTCGTTCGTCCTCGTGCGAACCTGGATGCCACATGCGCGCTTCTTAGGCCACTCGAGGACGAAGGCAAGTCTTAACCCGGGGAGAGACAAAAGAACGGAAACTAAAATCTGAAGGAGTTTGAAAAGGGAAAGTTCGCGTGGAAGAATAGAACGAGGTTCGGTAAGGGTTTGTTGACGACGACGTACCCGCCACAACTGTACTACCGTCGTATAGGGGGTGTCTTAGAAAGGGTGGAAAACTGGGGACACGACGATTCTACGTGCAACGATGAGTTGGAAATGTAGAATAAAGTTTGTTCGTGACAAACTTTGTTCTCGAGTAAATTCAATTTAAACAATTTATTGAGAATTTAAGATGATACATTTATTAGCAATTTTCTTCATTTTTTTCCGAGACACCCTGTATAACTGTCGCGCGAAAGTCTGATTTATTCGAGATACATCGTACATCATTTTATTGTGATATTTCGATCTGTAGATGTGACCCTTGAAGATGACTAAACTAGAGAAAATTAATTAATTAACAAACATTCATTACTCCATTACACCGTACAAAAAACGTAACAACTTTCCTGACACACCCCGTACAACTCGGCCCCGAAAAAAATCCAACTTACCCAACACCACCCATCGATAAAAATTCAATGCTTTCTCCACCCCGTTTAATTTTCCATATTTCAAGAGGTCGATGACCCGGTGAAAGAAAAAGAGAGAACCGAGTGAAACGTAGCTCGGTCGACGATAATGAAACGTCGATGGTGCATAATGTTCTCCCGCGATTGCCCTTCCTCTCTCGCAACGTTTGGTATTCTTCGAACGAGCAATTACCGAAATCGGCGTTTGCATGATGAAACCGTAGCGCGAGCTGACAGCACGAATTAAATCAATGCTCTCTAATGAGCACTTCTAAATCGTCGGTAATGCTCGTGCCTGTCATTCGCCACCGTAATCACGATCATTCCGCCCGTGCTCTTCGCCAGTGGGTCCACGTAGTTCTCCCGGTATTCCCTCGGCCACCGTGAAAAGAACGACACGGTAATCAAACGCCATCTCGACGCGCCCGTTTTCTCCCCTGGCTTTTGCGTTTATGTCCCTTTTGCACGCTGCTGCCGTCCTCTCTACCATCGATTTTCTCTCGCGGCTCCGCCACGCAGCTTCCTCGTAATCGTTTCGTGGATCTGCGTGCCGATACGCCGAATCGGTAACGCTAGCTAATTTCCACGCCCTACAGCCATGCTTTTCATTTCTTCGCAAATCTTCCAACGTTCAATGACAGAGTTCATCCGTGTGCTTGTTGATGTTTGCTGTTAACCCTTTGCAATCGAGTGGCGACTGAGAAGCGGCGTTAAGTAATCGTCACTTGGTAAATAATTGACGAAGACAGAGAACAGATCTACGGGCCTCCGTGAAATAGAGGATACATTGAAAATTTTTTAAAAAAGATCCAATTTGCAAGCTTTTCTGCAGCAAAATCACCTTTGCTATCCTACGTCGAGTCAGACAGGAATTCTTGCCTTCAGATATCGTACAATAATAAATAACAAATTACTAAGCGACGACAATTTTTGTGCATTAATATTATACTGAAACATAATATTTTAAAATTCGTATTAAGCTGAAATATTGAAATATAGGCGAACTATACGGTATTGCCGGACAGTGGCCAAATGAGTGCGTACTAAAGGGTTAAGTATTAAGTTGAAATAGTTAGATACGATTGTAAAATATTTTCGAGGGTTGTTTCAGCCCTTTTGTGGGCAGCAGAGCGTTTTCATTGGAAGAGAAAAGTTGTAAATCGGAGATTTCTATTTTAGTGCGAGTTAAGAGTGTCAGAGATTCTTGTGAGAACTCGCAATTCTTTGATTACAAAGGTGTGAAGGTTGTGTGTGTGTGGAAATGAAAGGGGACACATCTTTCGTAAAAGTCCACGTAAGTACATGGTGAGGTGCGCCTTTGTTTTGACTCTGTATGGTAATGAATGGAAGCACACAAATTACTCGCATTACTAATATCGAAAATTGCTTCTAACTCTGACAGAATCGATTCTCCGACCCGTGTCCGTTAACCCTTTGTGCAGGTAATATCATGTACCGTATGGAAACGGCAATTATTCGTAAATTGCATAAGTGGATCGTTATTTACATTTTTGCTCCAAGTAAAGTACACAAAAATTGTGCTCATTTTATTTCTGTACGTTTAAGTGCATGGTCACGCCTACTATTTTCATTGCTTAAAAATATACGAGTTTATTAGTTGCGTTCTTACTATCGTTCTCAAAGGGTTAACTCTTCGAAGTTCAACATTTTTTCACACTCCATAGGCAAACTTCTAGGCTTCCAAAGAATCTGAAAAAATTCTAAGACACTTGTCAAAGCCTCCACTATATCGTACAATTGTCCCTCAATCCAAATCTCCGAAACTTTTTCAATAAAATAAAAAATCCTTACGAAGAACACAAGGACAAAATTTCACTTGGGTCATTAAAGACCCAGCCTGCCTATAAAGTGTTAACAACTCCAACAATCCAATGGCAACAAGCATTATCAAGCGTTTCACGAATTTCCCTGCCATTCTGAACCGTAGTTAAAAATACACACCGGTGTAAAGGGTTAATGAATGAATATCTATTATCCAGCTCGTAAATCTGTGCTCCTCTCTCGAAAACATCCTCCGTAATAACGAAACGGGAGAGACAATTCTCTCGCAGCAACGGCTATATAATTCAACCGGCCTGGTGGTGTGTACCTATAAGTCGAAGGCAGTAGCAGCCGTTGAGGAGGGAAGCGGCAGACTAAACAAAAATAACCTCTCGCGGCGTGCACGTTGCCGTTGGTGGCTGCGCCCGCCAGGAAAAGAGAGTGACATAAGTATATTTCTAGTACGGAGAAATCTAACGTATAGCTGGTGAACGGGTAACGGATGTGCTTCGGGGGTCATTTCGTAACGCGTTATCTCGCGGCGCGCTTTAACTTCCTGCCCTTCTTCCGCGTCTTCCCGTCGCTCGATTAGGGAGGGTTCTCTTCCCATCCGTAGTAGGCTCTCCCCTAACTTGATCCGTCGTGCCTCCACGCACGGCCGACTACGTCTCGCTTTGCTTCCTTTCGCGGCTTGTTTACGCACGGCACTCTCCGCGACGCGCAGTTTCGTCGCCGGTGATAAAGGCGTATTCACGTGCGATGGACTAACCCCTTCTGGCACACTTTTTCAACCTACACAGCCTCTGTGGAGCGTGCAGGGTGGGACGGGAGGGGTGGAAATGGAGAGAAAATCACTTTTGTCGCGAGAAGCTTAGTTTTCGAGAAAATTATCTCTTTCGAAATGTGACGTTACCAGTGTTTATCGACGTCTTCGAATTTAATTTCCTCGAAAACTAAGTTAACATTTTTTTTTTTATGGACGCAATGGCAAAGATGGATTTAAAATTTTGAAGTGAGGGAAAAATTTGTCTTCCATGTTATTCACCTTTCGACACCATTTAAATTAGGTATAAAAATTGTCTCGTACCACTAAAGCTAAATAGAGGTAATAATTAGATGACCTGTTTCACTTGGCTCACCCTGTATATTTATTGGATCTGGAGTAAGGATAAATACACGTAGTAGTTAGGAAGTGAAAGCAACACTTGCTAATGTGAGAATGTTAGGCGAATTATGTAAATGTTCGAATAAAGACTATATACAGTAAATTCTCTACAAGAGTCAGTAAGTTTGGATTCTACAATTGACAGTATAGATGGTAGACAGTATAGATCCTACGCCTAGATCTGCGTCATTACTGCGCCCATGTTATCTCGCTCGCAGTCAGTCAA